CCAGCAGCGAAGGCGATCGTGGGGCAGACACTGAGAACAGAAATTCAGGCACTTCTGTTGGGACTCCGGTGGGGTGAGCGGGGAGGACGGGACAGGCAAAGATTAGCGCTAGAGAGGAGTGTAGAATTGAACCATGTCTTAACCCAAAAGCTAAGGCGAACGTGGGTCAGAGAATGGTACCTGTCAGAGAATCCAAGGTTATTTGTAAATAGGGTTAGGAGCAGGATCATACAAGGAGTAGAAAAGATTGTGTTGGTTTGTGGGTCTGCGAATGTCTTCGTCAATGAGAGAGGTCCAGTAGTCATGTCGTGTCTCAAGTTTGTCTGTCTGTCTGTCACTTAGCTTCTTCCAGTACAGATTCAGCGCAGGGATGTCTAATTGGGCATTGAGAGACTCGCTTGTGGCGAAGTCATCCCATCTGACATCAAGCACCCAGCGCAGCGCCTTGTTCTGGACACGCTACAGTTTAAGTTTGTTTTAGCTGCAAGAGAGAGAGCTAGAGGAGAGTAAGTTATCAGTCGATGTATTAGGGATTTGGATAGGAGATTCATTTTGATTTGTATAGTTCGACCCCCTTCTGTCTCCATGTTGGTAATTATTGAGCATTAAGGTACGTGTCTCAGGGCCACAGTGACCTGTGTCAGTGTTATTTAATGTGTCTCAGGACCACAGTGACCTATGCCAATGTGATGTAATGTGTCTCAGAACCACAGTGACCTATGTCAATATGATGTAACGTATCTCTGGGCCACATTGACCTGTGTCAGTGTGATGTAATATGTCTCAGGGCCACAGTGACCTGTGTCAGTGTGATGTAATATGTCTCAGGGCCACAGTGACCTGTGTCAATGTGATGTAATGTGTCTCAGAGCCACAGTGACCTGTGTCAATGTGATGTAATATGTCTCAGGGCCACAGTGACCTGTGTCAGTGTGATGTAATGTGTCTCAGAGTCACAGTGACCTGTGTCAACGTGATGTAAAGTATCTCAGGACCACAGTGACCTGTGTCAACGTGATGTAATGTATCTCAGGACCACAGTGACCTGTGTCAACGTGATGTAATGTATCTCAGGACCACAGTGACCTGTCAACGTGATGTAATGTATCTCAGGACCACAGTGACCTGTGTCAACGTGATGTAATGTATCTCAGGACCACAGTGACCTGTGTCAACGTGATGTAATGTAACTTAGGACTGTGGAAAATACTGTATATATTTTCCGGAAATACTGTAATTTATGGGTAAATAGATGCCCTATATTGTATTTTTAAAAGAAGTATGTTATCGAAAATGGGAAACCTGCGGCTGATGGGGGGGGGGTGAGTCGCCATTTTTTTTAATTTGTATTAGAAACGTTGGTGTAATGGGAAGAATTTTTCGTGCTCTAGAGGTTAAAATTGTGCTGACACCTCTCAAATAGGAGGCAAAATTGTTGGATGTGCATTCCTGCATAACTTGAGATATCAGGCGACAGGACAGGACCTCTCCAGGAACCTCAGATAAGCTCTCTAGATTTGTATGTAATTCTGGCCAGCATTATTTTCATAGATTTAGTTAGAGTGAGGTTTTCTGAATATGATACACATTAATCTCCAGTCAAATTGGTGAGTGATATTAAGATATATTTTCCTTCTGTTATGTAATTGTCTATATATATATAACCATTTATTATTTTTAATATACAGTCCACAAATTTATATATTTACCAGTATTCCTGGTGTATCTATATTTCATTTAATTAATAGGTCCAGAGCAACTTGTGGTTATGACAGTGGAAAATAATGTATATATTTTCCAGAAATTCAGTATTTATATGTAAATAGATGGCCATACTGTATTTAATAATATTTATGTCATAGAAAACGGAAAGCCTGAGTCTGCATAGAAGGGGACTCGCCATCTTGGTTTTGAATTGTATACAACGTTAGTGTAATGGGGAAGAATTTTTCGTGCTCTAGAGGTTAAAATTGTATTGGCACCTCTCAAATAGGAGGCGAAATTGGTGGATATGCATTCCTGCATAACTTGAGATATCAGGCGACAGGACAGGACAACTCCAGGAACCTCAGATAAGTCTTATGTTGTAACCTGGCCAGTGTTATTTTCATAGATAGACAGTGAGGTTTTCTGAATATGATACACATTAATCTCCAGTCAAATTGGGGTGTTATGATTAAGATATATTCTCCTTCTGTTATATAAATGTGTGTATACCTGGAGAGAGTTTACCTGGAGAGAGTTTCGGGGGTCAACGCCCCCGCGGCCCGGTCTGTGACCAGTCCACAAATTTATATATTTACCAGCATTCTTGGTGTATGTATATTTAATTAATAATTAATAGGTCCAGAGCAACTTGTGGATATGACATTGGTAGGTATCGAAGGGGGACATTTTTTGCGACCTAGGTGTCCCAAATTCCTACTTGTCTATTAACATTGATAAATAATAATTATCTTTGTTATTTACTGTTATGTACATAATGAGTTACATACAGATAAATGCAATTTTCCACAATGACAGTGGTAGGTATCGAAGGGGGACTTTTTTGCGACCTAGGTGTCCCAAATTCCTACTTGTCTATGTAACATTGATAAATAATGACTTAAGAAATCGTAATGACACGATTGCAAACAAACCATACCCCCGGCCGGGATTGAACCCGCGACGGGCTGGAGTTTTGAGACTCTATGACCGCGGGTTCAATCGCGGCCGGGGGTATGGATTGATAAATAATAATTATCTTTGTTATCATTTACTGTTATGTACATAATTAGTTACATTCAGATAAATGTAATTTTCCACAAGGACCATAGTGACCTGTGTCAACGTGATGTAATGTATCTTGGGACCACAGTGACCTGTGTCAACGTGATGTAATGTATCTTGGGACCATAGTGACCTGTGTCAACGTGATGTAATGTATCTTGGGACCACAGTGACCTGTGTCAACGTGATGTAATGTATCTTGGGACCACAGTGACCTGTGTCAACGTGATGTAATGTATCTTGGGACCACAGTGACCTGTGTCAACGTGATGTAATGTATCTTGGGACCACAGTGACCTGTGTCAACGTGATGTAATGTATCTTGGGACCACAAAGACCTGTGTCAACGTGATGTAATGTATCTTGGGACCACAAAGACCTGTGTCAACGTGATGTAATGTATCTAGGGACCACAGTGACCTGAGGTGTGTCCATGTGTAGCGATCCCTCAGATGGGGATTTCCCACTCTCATTCCAGCCTACTAGGTAACACCGAAACTTTTCCTTCTATCCTGTTTGTGTAGCATGTTGATGTGTGTATTCAAAACTAAATGAACCAAATTCTATCCCACCTCAATAGCGGGAAATAGTGTCAAACTTACAGATACACAGATGAAAAAAGGGACTGTCCAGAAGAGATTTTGGGAGGAAGACTAAGAGGCGGCGTTCCTCAGGGATCAGTTTTGCAATCATTACTCTTTCTGGTTTGTTAGGTACAGTGTTACATGTGCAATTAATGCGACGTTTTAAGCAAGTTTATTTAGGCGGAAGTACACATGAGTATAGTTATCATACATAGTGTAAATTACCCACCAGGATAATCCCCCCCAAAAAAAGTCAGACAAAGTGACTTATTTCCATTGTGGAGTTAAAAATCATCTATTACAATAATTATGTGAATAACATACTGGAAGGGACCGAGTCATATGTGTTCTTGTTTGTCGGTGATGTCCAGATAAAGAGGAAAATAAGAGGAGACGAGGACTGGGGAAAAGATTGCAAATGGATCCGGGGAGACTGCAGCAAGATGGGCGAAATAAGATGCTGCTTGAGTTCAACCCCGTATGTCAGGACCATCTTGCATCCATCACCTGAAAAAAATATGTTAAAAAAGTGGAGAAAGTGCAGACGTATGCAACAAGACTAGGTCCAAAGTTAAGGAGAAAATTCTCCAGCCCCCTTCAGCCCTCTGAGGGACTTAAGGGACTCAGCCCTCCCGGAATTAAGGGGTATGACTAATGACGTTTTAGGACAGGACAACTATATTATACAATATAAAAATATACAATATACTCAGATGAATTGATAGGTAAAGAGGTATAGGATGTTTGAGAGGCGGGAAACAGGTACTAAGGGGCACAGCTGGTAGTTAAAGACACACAGATGATCCACAGGGATACCTGGAGAGGGTTTCGGGGGGGAGGGGTCAATGCCCCCGCGGCCCGGTCTGTGACCAGGCTTGATGTTAGGAAGTATTTCTTCAGTCTCAGGGTAGTCAGGAAACGGAATGATCTTGAAGAAGTGGTGGAGGCAGACTTCATACATAGTTTTAAGAACAGGTAGAAATACAAATAATAAAAAAAAATAAAATAAGGCCCCCGAGGTTAGGAATGAATTTGGGAAGTGTCAAGTTGATAGGCAGGGACTGGAGCTAGAACTCGACGTAAACAAAAACGCCATTCCCACATCTAACCCTGGTGGAGTAAGGTTCACTCGCACAACCTGCCTAATATTAAATATTTTAAAGCAGAAATCATCAACCAGCTTAGACCAGGATCTAAAGAAAATAAAAACCGTATATGCTTTTGTGTTTGTGTATAAATATACAAGTGGACAAAAAATGGCGTATTGTATATTGTGTGAACTTTTTTAATTAAGTTTTGACTTTTGTCAACTTTTTGGGGGTAAGTAAAATATTATTTTTATGTTTTATTAATAAATATGTAGTGTTAAGGCAGCATAATCTTACACCAATAATACTTGAATTATTATCATTATTATTATTATTATTATTATTATTATTATTATTATTATTATTATTATTATTATTATTATTATTATTATTATTATTATTATTATTATTATTATAATTCTTTTTCTTATTATTATAGTTATTATAATTCTTCTTTTTATTATTATTAATATTGTTATTATTGTTGTTATTATTATTACCATCATAATTATCATTATTACTTAATAAATTATTAAAGAATAGCGTAGTATTCCCTGGTATGTGTGAGCGTGGTCAGTAAGGTCGACGTTGCTATACAATAACACAGCAACAACGACCTTACAGCCGTCACCACCTCTCACACACACATCCCCAAACACTCACTTTTACCACCATTTTTCCTCCATTTTAGCGTTATAAGTGAGGTAAATATGTCTGAGGAGGAGGGCGGGAAGGACGCCCAGGGTGAAGACACCAAGATAGACTACGATAAGACGACCACCAAGGGAGAATTAGCTGTTAAAGTTATATGTCTGGGGGACAGTGCTGTTGGCAAGTCTAAGTTAGTAAACCTTTTTGGATTTGTTTTTTTTAATGAAGTTTGGGGGTTCCTTGTGGGTTTAGAGCCCTGGTCGCTGTGATGTAACCCCCCTCCCCCAGAGTGTGTGCTCGCCTGGTTGTGGTTGCAGGGGTCGAGTCACAGCTTTTATGTGTGGGGCCCCTGTGGGTTTAGTGCCCGGTTCTGATGGTTGTAGTAATGATAATGCCCCTGTGGGTTTAGTGCCCGGTTCTGATGGTTGTAGTAATGATAATGCCCATGTGGGTTTAACACTCCACCCATATGTATTAAAAAATCAATGTTATGCACTGGTAATGTATGATGACTTAACCTAGGATAATTCTCTATAATGTTAATAATAATGTAATTATAATATATTTAAATATTTATGTAGTACTTTGTTACAAAATATTTTTTATAATATATTTCGTACCATAATTAAGAGGCACCTAAGTTTCCCCGTCTTCTAATAACACGTTCTTTTTTCCACTATAATCTACCTTTGCTCTTTTTTCCACTATAATCTACCTTCACTTTTTTCCACTATAATCTCCCTTTGCTCTTTTTTCCACTATAATCTACCTTTGCTCTTTTTTCCACTATAATCTACCTTTGCTCTTTTTTCCACTATAATCTACCTTCACTTTTTTCCACTATAATCTACCTTCACTCTTTTTTCCACTATAATCTCCCTTTGCTCTTTTTTCCACTATAATCTACCTTTGCTCTTTTTTCCACTATTAATCTCCCTTTGCTCTTTTTTCCACTATAATCTCCCTTTGCTCTTTTTTCCACTATAATCTCCCTTTGCTCTTTTTTCCACTATAATCTCCCTTTGCTCTTTTTTTCCACTATAATCTCCCTTTGCTCTTTTTTCCACTATAATCTCCCTTTGCTCTTTTTTCCACTATAATCTCCCTTTGCTCTTTTTTCCACTATAATCTCCCTTTGCTCTTTTTTCCACTATAATCTCCCTTTGCTCTTTTTTCCACTATAATCTCCCTTTGCTCTTTTTTCCACTATAATCTCCCTTTGCTCTTTTTTCCACTATAATCTACCTTCGCTCTTTTTTCCACTATAATCTACCTTTGTTTTTCCACTATAATCTACCTTTGTTTTTCCACTATAATCTACCTTTGTTTTTCCACTATAATCTCCCTTTGCTCTTTTTTCCACTATAATCTCCCTTTGCTCTTTTTTCCACTATAATCTCCCTTTGCTCTTTTTTCCACTATAATCTCCCTTTGCTCTTTTTTCCACTATAATCTCCCTTTGCTCTTTTTTCCACTATAATCTCCCTTTGCTCTTTTTTCCACTATAATCTCCCTTTGCTCTTTTTTCCACTATAATCTCCCTTTGCTCTTTTTTCCACTATAATCTCCCTTTGCTCTTTTTTCCACTATAATCTCCCTTTGCTCTTTTTTCCACTATAATCTCCCTTTGCTCTTTTTTCCACTATAATCTCCCTTTGCTTTTTTTTTCCACTATAATCTCCCTTTGCTCTTTTTTCCACTATAATCTCCTTTGCTCTTTTTTCCACTATAATCTCCCTTCGCTCTTTTTTCCACTATAATCTACCTTCGCTCTTTTTTCCACTATAATCTACCTTTGTTTTTCCACTATAATCTACCTTTGTTTTTCCACTATAATCTACCTTCGTTCGTAGATTATTGTGGAAAAACGAACGTGTTATTAGAAGGCGGGGGAACTTACGTGCCCCTTAAAATCGCTAACTAAGATGAGATCTACATACGTTATGTATCACATAGGTTGGTTGTATTTTGAGTTTATTTCTAGACATACATTTTGTAAGGCTTTTTATTTATTTATTTTTTTTTCAACAAGTCGGCCGTCTCCCACCGAGGCAGGGTGACCCAAAAAAGAAAGAAAATCCCCAAAAAGAAAATACTTTCATCATCATTCAACACTTTCACCACACTCGCACATTATCACTGTTTTTGCAGAGGTGCTCAGAATACAACAGTCTAGAAGCATACACATATAAAGATACACAACATATCCCTCCAAACTGCCAATATCCCAAACCCCTCCTTTAAAGTGCAGGCATTGTACTTCCCATTTCCAGGACTCAAGTCCGACTATATGAAAATAACCGGTTTCCCTGAATCCCTTCACTAAATATTACCCTGCTCACACTCCAACAGATCATCAGGTCCCAAGTACCATTCGTCTCCATTCACTCCTATCTAACACGCTCACGCACGCTTGCTGGAAGTCCAAGCCCCTTACCCACAAAACCTCCTTTACCCCCTCTCCAACCCTTTTGAGGACGACCCCTACCCCGCCTTCCTTCCCCTATAGATTTATATGCTTTCCATGTCATTCTACTTTGATCCATTCTCTCTAAATGACCAAACCACCTCAACAACCCCTCTTCTGCCCTCTGACTAATACTTTTATTAATTCCACACCTTCTCCTAATTTCCACACTCTGAATTTTCTGCATAATATTTACACCACACATTGCCCTTAAACAGGACATCTCCACTGCCTCCAACCATCTCCTCGCTGCTGCATTTACCACCCAAGCTTCACACCCATATAAGAGTGTTGGTACTACTATACTTTCATACATTCCCTTCTTTGCCTCCATAGATAACGTTTTTTGACTCCACATATACCTCAACGCACCACTCACCTTTTTTCCCTCATCAATTCTATGATTAACCTCATCCTTCATAAATCCATCCGCCGACACGTCAACTCCCAAGTATCTGAAAACATTCACTTCTTCCATATTCCTCCTCCCCAATTTGATATCCAATTTTTCTTTATCTAAATCATTTGACACCCTCATCACCTTACTCTTTTCTATGTTCACTTTCAACTTTCTACCTTTACACACATTCCCAAACTCATCCACTAACCTTTGCAATTTTTCTTTAGAATCTCCCATAAGCACAGTATCATCAGCAAAAAGTAACTGTGTCAATTCCCATTTTGAATTTGATTCCCCATAATTTAATCCCACCCCTCTCCCAAACACCCTAGCATTTACTTCCTTTACAACCCCATCTATAAATATATTAAACAACCATGGTGACATTACACATCCCTGTCTAAGACCTACTTTTACCGGGAAGTAGTCTCCCTCTCTTCTACACACCCTAACCTGAGCCTCACTATCCTCATAAAAACTCTTTACAGCATTTAATAACTTACCACCTATCCCATATACTTGCAACATCTGCCACATTGCTCCTCTATCCACTCTATCATATGCCTTTTCTAAATCCATAAATGCAATAAAAACTTCCCTATCTTTATCTAAATACTGTTCACATATATGCTTCAATGTAAACACCTGATCTACACATCCCCTACCCACTCTAAAACCTCCTTGTTCATCCGCAATCCTACATTCTGTCTTACATCTAATTCTTTCAATTATAACCCTACCGTACACTTTTCCTGGTATACTCAGTAAGCTTATTCCTCTATAATTTTTACAGTCTCTTTTGTCCCCTTTCCCTTTATATAAAGGGACTATACATGCTCTCTGCCAATCCCTAGGTACCTTCCCCTCTTTCATACATTTATTAAACAAAAGTACCAACCACTCCAACACTATATCCCCCCCTGCTTTTAACATTTCTGTCATGATCCCATCAGTTCCAGCTGCTTTACCCCCTTTCATTTTACGTAATGCCTCACGTACCTCCCCCACACTTACATTCTGCTCTTCTTCACTCCTAAAAGATGGTATACCTCCCTGACCAGTGCATGAAATTACTGCCTCTGTTTCTTCCTTAACATTTAAAAGTTCCTCAAAATATTCTCGCCATCTACCCAATACCTCCATCTCCCATCTACTAACTCCCCTACTCTGTTTTTAACTGACAAATCCATATTTTCCCTAGGCTTTCTTAACTTGTTTAACTCACTCCAAAATTTTTTCTTATTTTCATTAAAATTTCTTGACAGTGCCTCTCCCACTCTATCATCTGCTCTCCTTTTGCACTCTCTCACCACTCTCTTTACCTTTCTTTTACTCTCCATATACTCTGCTCTTCTTATAACACTTCTGCTTTGTAAAAACCTCTCATAAGCTACCTTTTTCTCTTTTATCACACCCTTTACTTCATCATTCCACCAATCACTCCTCTTTCCTCCTGCCCCCACCCTCCTATAACCACAAACTTCTGCCCCACATTCTAATACTGCATTTTTAAAAACTATTCCAACCCTCTTCAACCCCCCCACTACTCATCTTTGCACTAGCCCACCTTTCTGCCAATAGTCGCTTATATCTCACCCGAACTTCCTCCTCCCTTAGTTTATACACTTTCACCTCCCTCTTACTTGTTGTTGCCACTTCCTCTTTTCCCATCTACCTCTTACTCTAACTGTAGCTACAACTAAATAATGATCCGATATATCAGTTGCCCCTCTATAAACATGTACATCCTGGAGCCTACCCATCAACCTTTTATCCACCAATACATAATCTAATAAACTACTTTCATTACGTGCTACATCATACCTTGTATATTTATTTATCCTCTTTTTCATAAAATATGTATTACTTATTACCAAATTTCTTTCTACACATAGCTCAATTAAAGGCTCCCCATTTACATTTCCCCCTGGCACCCCAAATTTACCTACTACTCCTTCCATAACATTTTTACCCACTTTAGCATTTAAATCCCCAACCACCATTACTCTCACACTTGATTCAAACTCCCCACGCATTCACTCAACATTTCCCAAAATCTCTCTCTCTCCTCTACACTTCTCTCTTCTCCAGGTGCATACACGCTTATTATAACCCACTTTTCACATCCAATCTTTATTTTACTCCACATAATCCTTGAATTAATACATTTATAGTCCCTCTTTTCCTGCCATAGCTTATCCTTCAACATTATTGCTACTCCTTCTTTAGCTCTAACTCTATTTGAAACCCCTGACCTAATCCCATTTATTCCTCTCCGCTGAAACTCTCCCACCCCCTTCAGTTTTGTTTCACTTAAAGCCAGGACATCCAGCTTCTTCTCATTCATAACATCCACAATCATCTCTTTCTTATCATCTGCACAACATCCACGCACATTCAGACTTCCCACTTTGACAATTTTCTTCTTCTTATTCTTTTTAGTAATCTTTACAGGAAAAGGGGTTACTAGCCCCTTGTTCCCGGCATTTTAGTTGACTTTTACAACACGCATGGCTTACGGAGGAAAGATTCTTATTCCACTTCCCCATGGATATAAAAGGAAAATTAATAAGACCAAGAACTATTAAGATAAAATCAAAGAAAACTCAGATGAGTGTGTATAAATAAATGTGTACATGTATGTGTAGTGTGACCTAAGTGTAAGTAGAAGTAGCAAGACATGCCTGTAATCTTGCATATTTATGAGACAGACAAAAGACATCAGCAATCCTACCATCATGTAAAACAATCACAGGCTTCGTTTTACACTCACTTGGCAGGACGGTAGTACCTCCCTGGGTGGTTGCTGTCTACCAACCTACTACCTATAAGGCTTTTTATATACAGTGTAAATGTTTCTCATCCCACACATTCTCTAAAATTTAAGATTTTTAAAATTAATAGAATTGTCAAGTTATATGAGCTATGGAAAACTCCAGATGTTTTAACTTATTCACTTACACAACCATGCAAATTAATTTTAAAAAAAGTATGGTAGTGTATTATATTATTAAGATAAGATTTTGATTGGATTTTTAACCCCAGAGGGTTAGCCACCCAGGATAACTCAAGAAGGCAGTGCGTCATTGAGGGACTGTCTGTCTTATTTCCATTAGGTCGTCAATCTTGTCCCCCAGGATGCCACCCACACCAGTCCACTAACACCCAGGTACCTACTTGCTGGGTGAACAGGACAACAAGTGTAAAGAAACGCGTCCAGTGTTTCCACCCCTGCTGGAAATCAAGCTCCTACCCTCAGCGTGTGAAGCGGGAGCATTTTTGGTGGATGGCTACCAGAATCAGCAGCTCTCATCAATGTTTGCACAGTTTCTATACAAATACTGTATTGCACCAAAATAATAAAAATGCCATAGTGTACAGTAGTGTAAGAAAAATACAGTAATGCATTATATTTTATCATTATAATTATAGGCTTGTGGAGCGTTTCTTGATGGATGGCTACCAGCACCAGCAGCTGTCAACGTTCGCACTGACGCTGTACAGATATCGCACCAAGGTGGATGACACGGATGTATTAGTAGGTTGGTAAAATTTGTGGAATAATGTATTAGACTAGAGGCTTTCCAGTCTTAATATGAGTCTTTTTATAAATTCTGTTAAAGGTTGGGACAGATCAGTGACAGGGTTGTGGGGGTAATTACCTCACCCCTTAGTACCATTAAAATTTGGCATTTATATACAATATGCTTTATTTTTAGTTTATTGCATAAGACTTTATAGAAGAAATCACAGTAATCGTATGATTGCAGATATATAAAGAATACCACAGTGAAAATATTGTTATAAAAGACTACACATTAGGCATACAGTAGGACCCTGACTTATGAACTTTCAAGTTATAATGAACCACACCTATGATGTGTGTGTGCTTCATTTTCTACAAGTTTATAAGTTTTGGGTTAGAAACTGGGCCGGATATACAAACAAGATAATTAAGCTGTGTCTTAGGCCCTCATGATATAAGAGGTCTTAAAATTTTTTGCCCTTTTTACAATACACATGGCCCTCGTCTTATGACAGTTATGTTCTGACGAACCCATCATAAACTAAATACGTACAGTGGTATCCCGAGTTTCGGCCATAATTCGTTCCAGAAGACTGATCGAGTGCTGTTACTGATTGAATTTTTTCCCATAAGGAATAATGTAAATTAGATTAGTCTGCTTCAGACCCCCTAAAATACGCTTACAAAAGCACTTACAATACTACACTTACATAATTGTTTGAGTTGGGAGGTGTATGAAACTCAGGGTACCACTGTACCAGCATTGAAAAGTAAATAAATGAATCCAAGTTACAGACTTGCTGCCTTCATGCTGGGAAATTATCTTAAGTTTCACCTCCAAAGTACAGTGGACCCCCGGTTTTCGTAATTAATCTGTTCCAGAGAGAGTGACTAAACCCGAATCTGACGATTTAAGAATTAATTTTCCCCATAAGAAATAATGGAAATCCAATTAATCCGTTCCAGACGCCCAAAAGTATTAAAAAAAATAATTTTTTTTACATGAAACATACATTTCCCTACACAGAAAAAAGTGAGACATGCAGAATAAAACAATACTGAAATGACACTTACCTTTATTGAAGACTTATTGATGAGTGATGAGACTGGAGGAGGGGAGAGGATGGAGGTGTACTATTTTTTGGCAACACTGTTTTTCTTGAACACACTGGGATTTTCAGAGTGATACACCAGTAAAGGCTTCACTTTGAAATCCCCACTGGCATTACTACAAAACATGAGTGTTAGCCTGTCTTTCATAGGCTTGTGTCCTGGGAGTGCCTTTTCCTCCTGAGTAATGTAAGTCCTCTTTGGCATTTTCTTCCAAAAGAAGCCTGTTTTGTCACAATTGAACACTTGTTGGGGTTTGAATTTTTCAGCCTCTATGTACCCCTTCAATTCCTGAACATATTTTTCAGCCACTTTTTTGCCAGAACTGGCAGCCTCACTATGCCTTATCACACTGTGTATGTCACTACACTTCTTAAATCTCTCAAACCAGCCTTCGCTGGCCTTTAACTCGCCAATATCAGTACAGTGGACCCCCGGTTTACGATCGGCTCCCAATGCGACCAATTATGTAAGTGTATTTATGTAAGTGCATTTGTACGTGTATGTTTGGGGATCTGAAATGGACTAATCTATAATTCACAATATTTCTTATGGGAACAAATTCGTTCAGTAATGGCACGTGAACATACTTCTGGAATGAAATAATATCGTAAACCGGGGGTCCACTGTACTAGTTCCAGGCATTTTCTTTATGAAATCATCATGCAAATGCCTTGCCTTTTCACAAATTATTGACTGCATAACACTATCTTCTAATAATTGTTTCTCATTGATCCACACCAACAACAAAGTCTCCACATCTTCCAGAATTTGTGATCTCTGTTTTGTAAATATATTTGCACCTTTCACAACAACAGCTTCCTTGACCTGACCAGCTTTCTTTCTCTTGACTGCGATGGTTGTATGGAGTTTGTTATACAACCTGGCCAGCTTGGCGACGCGCACTCCACTTTCGTATTTTGCAATAATGTCTTACTTGAATTCCATAGTGTTTCTCATCCTCTTTACCAAAGGGCTGGCACTAGAAGCTTTCTTTGGGCCCATGATGGCTTATTTAGCAGTTACAAGCACTAAAAAGAATGGAATAGTACAAAATGTATCGTATGAACACATGGGATCATCCTCACTGGCTGATAACCAATGGCACACTGTCTGTAAATGGTGTGTCGGGCCGTTCAGACCACGCGGACACATTCGGGACAAATGACTAATGCCGAGTTCAGTGACGATCACCGAACCAATATTTTGACGAAAAAAACGTTACCTATTCCGAATATTACGAAATCCGACGACAGCGTAATTCGGGGGTCCACTGTAATTGCTTTTGCATCATCATAAAGCTGAAATATCCTAAATTGAGGAGCACCTGTACTCTGGCAGTGTATTATGTACTTTGGCCTTTAATGTTTTTCTGGTCTTTGAAACTTGGCATAACTTAGAACCTTACAGAATCAGTGTTCTGGGTTTAAGCCACTTGTTCTTGAGTTAAAACACTGGTCTTTCTTTCAACACGATGGCCATCTCTCACTGAGGCTGGGTGAACCCAAAAAAACACTTTCACCATCATTCACACTGTCGTCTTTACAGATGCCTCTAGCTTGCCTAGGAACTTTTAATGTGTAGCCAATACTAGTTTTTCAATAAATATGATATACATAATTCTTACAGATTTTTGGGATACAGCAGGACAAGAGAGGTTTCAGACAATGCATCCATCATACTATCACCAGGTATGTATGAACTTCACTTGCTCTGCTATTATTACTACAGCCTCTCCTCACTTAGCGACATACTCATTTACCGACGACTCAGACTTATGACGGGCTCTCTGACCAGTATGCATACCTAAATGATGTATATTAGAGCTGATTTCCTTTATTCTTTTTATTACCATATACAGTACACTACTGTATAAACATTTAAAAATATACCATAAATGTTATAAATGGTACAAAGGTGACATTAAAACAATATCAAAGATAGGTAACACAAACCCAGTACCATTATAGTATGCTCGTCATTTATCGACGAATTTGTTGCTAAGTGAGGAGCATAGTGAGGACAGGCTGTATTTCCTCTTTCTCAACTAAAAACTCAGGCATAACAATTTATATTTATAAATACATGTACTGTTGCTGAAAATAAAAGATTTTCTTATGGTTTACCCTTCAAGAGAGGTGGATGGATGATGGGGTTAAGAGTTTCTTGGGATTTTTGACCCTAGTCTAGAGGGTTAGTCACCCAGGATAACCCAAGAAAATCAAGTGTTTCATCAAGGACTGTCTGTCTTAGCTGATAGGTAGTGAAAAGATTTTACTGCAAACATATTACAGTGGACCCCCGCTTAACGATCACCTCCAAATGCGACCAATTATGTAAGTGTATTTATGTAAGTGCGTTTGTACGTGTATGTTTGGGGGTCTGAAATGGACTAATCTACTTCACAATATTCCTTATGGGAAAAAATTCGGTCAGTACTGGCACCTGAACATACTACTGGAATGAAAAAAGTTCGTTAACCGGGGGTCCACTGTATTTTTTTCACTCGAGAGAAGTGCTTTGATGCTGGCAAAAGGCTTTTGCTCTGAGGAATTGGAAGTACCTTTCCCTTCCTCAAATTAATCCTGATTACCTCCCATTCCCCAGGTGCTGTATACAATACTGTACAGGTTTATCTCAGCATGATACATTACATATACAGCCTCCCCTCACTTAACAGCGGAGTTCTGTTCCTAAGACCATGTCGGTAAACAAATTCACCGTTAAGAGAGAAGCATACTATAATGGTACTGGGTTTGTGTCAACCATCTTTGATATTGTTTTAATGTCACCTTTGCAACATTTATAACATTTATGGTATATTTTTAAATGTTTATACAGCAGTGTACTGTATATTGTAATAAACAGAATAGAGGAAATTAACTCTAATATATATTATTTAGGTATGCATACTGGTCAGAGCCCATTGTAAGTCCGAGTCGAGGGTAAACGAGTATGTCACTAAGTGAGGAGAGGCTGTACACAAATGGGCGACACTTGAGTAAATGATGAAATCCCATAGTTATGCAAAGCATTTTGGGCAAACTAGGTTAATTTTGTCCCCAGGATGCAACCCCACACCAGTCGGCTAACACCCAGGTACCTGCTTATTGCTAGGTGAACAGGGACAGCAGGTGTCTTCAGGAAACACGCCCTAATGTTTCCACCCGTACCTGGGATATACTACAAGGACATATTATATGTGATTATAAAAAGTAATTAGTTGGGTTATAGTCTAGTAAATTTTTAGGTACTATCTTTTATATTAGCTGACATGATGGGTATTATTTTGTACACTAGATGACATTTAATTCAGGAACTTGATTTATAGATTTACCACTTCCATATGGATATAATAATTTCTTATAAGTTCATTGAAACTTGTGAAGTAGTACTTTCCTCTGCAGAGTTAATGTCATCTCCATCATTGATTTCCTGACTAGTGTCATCCAATTTATAAGCATTTTTTTTTTTAATGTACCTGCCGTCTCCCACCGAGGCAGGGTGACCTGTAGTAATTTATATAGGAGAAAGGGCTACTAGCCCCTTGCTCCCGGCAGTTTAGTTGTTTTTATAAATGAAATGTTTGATGTAGCGCCCTCAGCTCATACATTGACGCCAGTGGCTTGATCCCCGGTACGGGCTGAGACATTGGAGTGTGTTTCCTTAAGAAACCTGCTATCCTTATTCACTTAGCAGTAAATAGGTACCTGGGTGTTAGCCGACTGGTATAGATCATATCCTGGGGCAAAATTAACCCAATTTGCCTGAAATGCTCTGCATAACAAGGAGCTTTCTACCTAGTATGTCATTCATGTCAGCTTTGGTCTGTACAGTATAAGTTATATCATGTTCTTGTAGAAATAAAGATTTGTTATTACTATTAGGTAAAGAATGCTTCTTTATTTGTTGGCTTGCCTGGCTATTGTGAGTAAATGGGATTTTTACTTTTCAGGCTCACGCTGCCATCCTGGTATTTGACGGTACTCGCAAAGTAACCTATAAGAACTTGCCGAACTGGTATAAGGAGTTGCGGCAAAATAGACCGGAGATCCCTTGCTTCTGTGCCGTCAATAAAATAGATGGTATGTACGAAATTGTAATAATGTTGGTAGCATTAACGATAATCTTTTAGGTAAAAGGTCAAGTGCGACTTATGCTACATTTTATTGTGGCAATGTTTTGCTCTCCAGGAGTTTTGTCAAGTAAAACATTGCCACAATAAATTATCGCATTAGTTTCATATGTTCTTTTACCTATAATGTGCAGAATTGTTTGGTTTCTATTATTTTTTTTGTTCAGTGTGAATACGAACTTTATTTAAAAAAAAAAATGATTTTTCATTAAATTACAAACCTAAAATGGTTTAAGATGAAATTAGTAAATTATTAAAAGATTATTGATTATTAAAAGACTTAACCTAGCTTGATAGTAGTGTTAATCATTAAAAAACTTAACCAGGCCTATTTTTTTTTTTATCATCACACTGGCCGATTCCCACCAAGGCAGGGTGGCCCAAAAAAGAAAAACTTCCACCATCACTCACTCCATCACTGTCCTGCCAGAAGGGTGCTTTACACTACAGTTTTTAAACTGCAACTGTAGTGTAAAGCACCCTTCTGGCAGGACAGTGATGGAGTGAGTGATGGTGGAAGTTTTTTTTTTTTTGGGCCACCCTGCCTTGGTGGGAATCGGCCAGTGTGATAATAAAAAAAAAAAAAAATAGGCCTGGTTAAGTCTTTTAATGATTAACACTACTATCAAGCTAGGTTAAGTCTTTTAATAATCAATAATCTTTTAATAATTTACTAATTTCATCTTAAACCATTTTAGGTTTGTAATTTAATGAAAAATAATAATTTTTTTTTTTTTTAAATAAAGCTCATATTCACACTGAACAAAAAAAATAATAGAAACCAAACAATTCTGCACATTATAGGTAAAAGAACATATGAAACTAATAATACGTATAATATTATTAATACAGTGGACCCTTAACCAGCGATGGCATCGATTAACGATAAATCTGACTAGCGATACATTTTAACGCAAAAATTTTGCCTCAACTAGCGCTTAAAAACCCGACCAGCACTATTCGGTCCATACGAGACGCGTCCACTTTGGCCTGAGCGCACTTCACTTGTCCCGTGGGTGCCAGTGTTTACAAGCTAGCCAGCCACCGTGGTCGCTTCCAAACATACAACTAGAACATTTCATATTATCACAGCCTTTGTAGTGATTGCACCTGCAAAATAAGTCACCATGGGCCCCAAGAAAGCTTCTAGTGCCAACCCTACAGCAAAAAGGGTGAGAAACCATACCCTGGGCGGGATTGAACCCGCGGTCAGAGAGTCTCAAAACTCCAGCCCGTCGTGTTAGCCACGGTGAGAATTACTATGGAGATGAAGAAAGAGATCATTGCTAAGTATGAAAGTGGAGTGTGTGTCTCTGAGCTGGTCAGGTTGTATAATAAACCCCAATCAACCATCGCTACTATTGTGGGTAAGAAAACGGCAATCAAGGAAGCTGTTCTTGCCAAAGGTGCAGCTGCTGCTGCACCACAGTCAGCTGTTGTTGTTGCTGCACCACCATCAGCTGTATTACTCGAAGATGTGGAGAGAGTGTTGTTGGTGTGGCTTAACGTGAAACAATTACCGAGAAACAATTAACCCCGGAGGGTTAGCCACCCAGGATAACCCAAGAAAGTCAGTGCATCATCGAGGACTGACTAACTTATTTCCATTGGGGGTCCTTAATCTTGTCCCCCAGGATGCGACCCACAACAGTTGACTAACACCCAGGTGAACAGGAAAAAATGCCTGGAACTAGTGCTCATATTGGTGAGGCTAGTGGGGAGGATGTGGAAGAGTTGGTAGAGGAGGACAATGAAGAACAAACCACTGATGAGCTGCTAGATCATCTTCAATAGTAAGAGGCCACACCTGAGGAAACTGCTTCGGAGGAGGGGAGAGAGAAATTGAAGAAGTTGCCTACTTCAAAGATTAAGGAAATGTGTGCAATGTGGCTTAAAGTGCAAACCTTTTTTGATGAAAATGAGCCTCGCACAGCTATTGCAAGCCGTGCTGGTGACTATTACACTGACAATGTTGTGAAACACTTTAGGATAAAGGAATGAGAGGTACAGGCCTCTATGGACAGATATGTTGTGCGACAGAAGTCCAGTGACTCTGAAGCTGGTCCTAGTGGCATTAAAAGAACAAGGGAAGTAACCCCAGAAAAAGACTTGCTACCTCAAGTGCTAATGGAAGGGGATTTACCTTCTAAACACTAACAAGATCAACGGTCTCCCCTCCTCCCATCCCATCAATCATCACCAGATCTTCAATAAAGGTAAGTGTCATGTAACTGTGCATGTCTAATTCAGTTTGTGTGTATTAAAATTAATATTTCATGTGGTAAAATTTTTTTTTCATACTTTGGGGTGTCTTGCACCCATTAATTTGATTTCCATTATTTCTTATGGGGAAAATTAACTTGACTAACGATTATTTCGATTAACGATGAGCTCTCAGGAATGGATTAATATCGCTGGTTGAGGGTCCACTGTATTGTTAATTTTTAAGACTTAATCTAGCCTATAGAGATGATGGAATGAAATAGAATGACTTCGAGAGTGTATAAATCTGTAGCAAAGGGAAGACGGGGTAGAGGTTGGCCTAGGAAAGGTTGGAGGCAGGGGATAAAGGAGGTTTTGTGTGTGAGGGGCTTGAACCTCCAGCAAGCGTGCGTGAGCATGTTAGATAGGAGCAAATGAAGACAGATGGTTTTTAGGACTTGACATGCTGTTGGAGTGTAAGCAAGGTAACATTTATGAAGGGATTCAGGGAAACTGGCAGGCTGGACTTGATTCCTGGAGATGGGAAGTACAGTGTCTGCACTTTGAAGGAGGGGTGTTAATGTTGCAGTTTTATAACTGTAGTGTAAGCACACCTCTGGCAAGACAGTGATGGAGTGAATGATTATGAAAGGTTTTCTTTTTCGCGCCACCCTGCCTTGATGGGAAATGGCCGATGTTTTAAAAAAAAATAATATTAATTATTAAAAGACTTAACCTAGCCTATACACATGCTCCTCGCTTTACATTGGTTTGATTTACGATATTTGGACTTTACGATGGTGCAATAGCGATGCTGTACAGTGCAGTACTGCACATTTATTGACTGAATAAACCTGTATTCATTTATTTAATTTTCACTACTGGCATTTACTTACAGTAATTATTTATTTATTTATCTAGTCAGTGACAGTTATTTATATACTTATTTATCATACATTCATTTTCGACTTAGAGTATTTTCAACTTACAATGGGTTTTTCTACAGAACGTAACTCCATCGTACGAAGTGGAGCACCTGTACAATAGTGTTTAATTATTAAGAGACTTAATCTAGCCTATATAATAGTATTAATTATTAAAAGACTTAATCTAGAATGATAACAACTTTACTAAAGTTACTGTTAAGTAGTCTTTCTCTCATGGGAATTTTTTTTTTTTTACCTTTTTTTGTGATTGGTGTATGCCATTATTAACTGATGTGCAGTACCCAATAAACTTCTTTTCATGTGACTTTACTGATTTGTTACTATGCTAAATTTATTGATCAAAGGGATAACTGAAATTTATTGATCAAAGAATGAAATGAAAGTTGACAAATGGTGATCATTAATTTTTAATTTTATGGCCAAAAATGTTTTGGCTATTTCCAGAATTAGAATTAAGTTCTTAGTCATATAAGAATGGTCTTATGGATCTTGCAGTAAATACCTCCAGTAGTTAGGTATTCAGAGTAACCCAAGTGATCTTGTATTTCAGAAAATGAAGATATTGCTGGGAAGGCCTTTGCTTTTCCAGAGAAGAACAACATCCCCATGTACTATGTGTCAGCATCCAACGGCACCAATGTTGTGAAGGTGGGTTCAGGTCTCTGTGTTTGTGTGTGATGTAGGGATGTACAGTAAGTCCTTAACTTATAAACATGTTCAGAATCTTCTGTATTGTGTATAATATTATTCTTTCTTTCAACACATCGGCCGTATCCCACTGAGATGGGGTGGCCCAAAAGAAAAAATGAAAGTTTCTCCTTTTACATTTAGTAATATATACAGAAGGGGTTACTAGCCCCTTGCTCCCAGCATTTTAGTGGCTTACGGAGGAAGAATTCTGATCCACTTCCCCATGGAGATAACAAGAAATAAACAAGAACAAGAACATGCAACTATGACATGCAACTATGACCACCCTAGAAAATGTCATGCCCATATGACAACAGGAAAATGCAAACTCCCTTCCTGTAAGCTTTTTCACCCTGAAATGTGTACCTCTTCAGTACAGGAAAGACTGTGCTATAACTTAAATTGCCAGGCATACCATCTAAAGGGGACAAAAAGATACAAAAGATCCAGGCCATGGGAAAACCTGGGTAGCCACAGCCACTCAAGAGGGAGAGGTTTTTTAGTGCCAGGAAGGAAAAAAAACTGGCAGGAAATGGCAGAAATCGTACACCAAATCCAGTCATTCCTGGAGTGGAACCACAGTCGATGGCCTCCACTCCAAACCAACAGATACAGATACTAATGCCGGAAAAAAAATCCCCCCCCAGTACCAACAATACCACCAGTCCGATAACATTCTTCTTTGCAAATATACAGGGTCTAAAGCCAGCAATAAACAACAAAATACCTTTCATCCGTGGACTGCTTGCAGAGGCAAAGGCAATGTTCGCGGCTTTCACTGAGACCCACATAAAGGATCACTTGGACAACGAAATATGGATCCCAGGTTACAACCTATACAGATGTGACAGAGTGAACAGGCAAAAGGGGGGGGTTGGCCTGTACATTGCAGAGTCACTTGTTTGCACAGAACTGCTTAATGCCTCAAATGACGTAGTGGAAGTTTTAGCAGTAAAGGTCGAGAACCAAAACCTAGTCATTGTGGTAGTCTACAAGCCTCCGGATGCAACATCCCAGCAATTCCAGGAACAGCTGTTAAAAATTGACCACTGTCTGGAAAATCTTCCAGCTCCTGCACCCAACATCTTGCTCCTGGGGGATTTCAACTTAAGGCACCTAAAATGGAGGAATATAGCAAATAATATTGTTGCAGTAATAACACCAGGAGGCAGCTCTGATGAAAACTCACACTCACACGAGCTTTTAAATCTCTGCACAAAATTCAATTTAAACCAGCAAATAATAGAGCCTACTAGACTGGAGAATACACTAGACCTCATCTTCACTAACAATGATGATCTGATAAGAAATGTCACCATATCAAAAACAATATACTCAGATCACAACATAATTGAGGTTCAGACATGTATGCGTGGAGCCTCAGACCGACAAAATGAGACTAGTCACGAGGGAGCATTCACCAAATTCAACTTCAATAACAAAAACATAAAGTGGGACCAAGTAAACCAAGTCCTAACCGATATAAGCTGGGAAGATATACTAAGCAACACAGACCCAAACTTATGCCTAGAACAGATTAACTCGGTGGCACTCGATGTATGCACAAGGCTTATTCCTCTAAGAAAAAGGAGGAGTAGATGTAAAATAGAAAGAGACAGGCGCTCCCTTTACAGGCGACGGAAAAGAATAACAGAGCGGCTAAAAGAGGTCAATATATCAGAAATGCGCAGGGAGACACTGGTCAGAGAAATAGCAAGCATCGAACTTAAGCTAAAAGAATCCTTTAGGAGTCAGGAATCGCGGGAAGAACTAAAAGCCATAAATGAAATCGAAAGAAACCCAAAGTATTTCTTCTCCTATGCCAAATCAAAATCGAGAACAACGTCCAGTATTGGGCCCCTACTTAAACAAGATGGGTCCTACACAGATGACAGCAAGGAAATGAGTGAGCTACTCAAGTCCCAATATGACTCAGTTTTTAGCAAGCCGCTAACCAGACTGAGAGTCGAAGATCAAAATGAATTTTTTATGAGAGAGCCACAAAATTTGATTAACACAAGCCTATCCGATGTTATCCTGACGCCAAATGACTTCGAACAGGCGATAAATGACATGCCCATGCACTCTGCCCCAGGGCCAGACTCATGGAACTCTGTGTTCATCAAGAACTGCAAGAAGCCCCTATCACGAGCCTTTTCCATCCTATGGAGAGGGAGCATGGACACGGGGGTCGTCCCTCAGTTACTAAAAACAACAGACATAGCCCCACTCCACAAAGGGGGCAGTAAAGCAACAGCAAAGAACTACAGACCAATAGCACTAACATCCCATATCATAAAAATCTTTGAAAGGGTCCTAAGAAGCAAGATCACCACCCATCTAGAAACCCATCAGTTACACAACCCAGGGCAACATGGGTTTAGAACAGGTCGCTCCTGTCTGTCTCAACTACTGGATCACTACGACAAGGTCCTAAATGCACTAGAAGACAAAAAGAATGCAGATGTAATATATACAGACTTTGCAAAAGCCTTCGACAAGTGTGACCATGGCGTAATAGCGCACAAAATGCGCGCTAAAGGAATAACAGGAAAAGTTGGTCGATGGATCTATAATTTCCTCACTAACAGAACACAGAGAGTAGTCGTCAACAGAGTAAAGTCCGAGGCAGCTACGGTGAAAAGCTCTGTTCCACAAGGCACAGTACTTGCTCCCATCTTGTTCCTCATCCTCATATCCGACATAGACAAGGATGTCAGCCACAGCACCGTGTCTTCCTTTGCAGATGACACCCGAATCTGCATGACAGTGTCTTCCATTGCAGACACTGCAAGGCTCCAGGCGGACATCAACCAAATCTTTCAGTGGGCTGCAGAAAACAATATGAAGTTCAACGATGAGAAATTTCAATTACTCAGATATGGTAAACATGAGGAAATTAAATCTTCATCAGAGTACAAAAAACAAATTCTGGCCACAAAATAGAGCGAAACACCAACGTCAAAGACCTGGGAGTGATTATGTCGGAGGATCTCACCTTCAAGGACCATAACATTGTATCAATCGCATCTGCTAGAAAAATGACAGGATGGATAATGAGAACCTTCAAAACTAGGGAGGCAAGCCCATGATGACACTCTTCAGGTCACTTGTTCTATCTAGGCTGGAATATTGCTGCACTCTAACAGCACCTTTCAAGGCAGGTGAAATTGCCGACCTAGAAAATGTACAGAGAACTTTCACGGCGCGCATAACGGAGATAAAACACCTCAATTACTGGGAGCGCTTGAGGTTTCTAAACCTGTATTCCCTGGAACGCAGAGGGAGAGATACATGATTATATACACCTGGAAAATCCTAGAGGGACTAGTACCGAACTTGCACACGAAAATCACTCACTACGAAAGCAAAGACTTGGCAGACGATGCACCATCCCCCCAATGAAAAGCAGGGGTGTCACTAGCACGTTAAGAGACCATACAATAAGTGTCAGGGGACCGAGACTGTTCAACTGCCTCCCAGCACACATAAGGGGGATTACCAACAGACCCCTGGCAGTCTTCAAGCTGGCACTGGACAAGCACCTAAAGGCAGTTCCTGATCAGCCGGGCTGTGGCTCGTACGTTGGTTTGCGTGCAGCCAGCAGCAACAGCCTGGTTGATCAGGCGCTGATCCACCAGGAGGCCTGGTCACAGACCGGGCCGCGGGGGCGTTGACCCCCGAAACTCTCTCCAGGTAAACTCCAGGTAAACTCCAGTAAGAAAATAGAAGAAAACCCAGAGAGGTGTGTATATATATATATTCTTTCTTTCTTTCAACACACCGGCCGTATCCCACTGAGGCGGGGTGGCCCAAAAGAAAAAACCAAAGTTTCTCCTTTCAAATTTAGTAATATATACAGGAGAAGGGGTTACTAGCCCCTTGCTCCCGGCATTTTAGTCGCCTCTTACAACACGCATGGCCTACGGAGGAAGAATTCTGTTCCACTTCCCCATGGAGATAAGAGGAAATAAACAAGAACAAGAACTAGAAAGAAAATAGAAGAAAACCCAGAGGGGTATGTATATATACGCTTGTACATGTATGTGTAGTGTGACCTAAGTGTAAGAAGTAGCAAGACGTACGTGAAATCTTGCATGTTTATGAGACAGAAAAAGACACCAGCAATCCTACCATCATGTAAAACAATTACAGGTTTCCGTTTTACGCTCAATTGGCAGAAGGGTAGTACCTCCCTGTGCAGTTGCTGTCTACCAACCTACTACGTAGGTAATATTATATAATACATAATTCAGGAAGCCCCCAGTGTGTTTGTAAGTCGAGGGCGTACTGTATTTGATTTGTTGAATAAGACGTGTGTAATACTTTGGTATGTGTTGCCATTATTATAATCATGGGGGAGCACTAAACCCATAGGATTATACAGTGCATGTAGGGGGGGGATAGAAGTTACTTACACTCGATTCAGGGAACTGGAGGACGGATCCAGTTCCCTAGATCAAGAGCCTCTCGCCAGCATTAAGGAACCTCCCTTCAGGGGTATGTGTTGCCAAAATATTTTGCCTGCTCAGTAGGCTGTGTAGCATCAGTAATATGATACATTTTTTTTTTTTTTTTTTTTTTTTTTTTTTTTTTTTTTTTAACAAATTGGCCATCTCCCACCGAGATAGGGTGACCCAAAAAGTGAGATATATGTGGTTCAAAACTGCATGTATCCCTACCCCTCCTTTAGAGTGCAGGCACGGTACTTTCCATCTCCAAGTTTATGTATCTATAGCTTATGGTTAGCTATCTAATCACTATATAGGAGGGCCTCTCTTTACAGCATTTTGCTTTATGGCATTTCACTAATGCAGCGGTTTTCAGTTATACCCATTCTTCATATATTCAGACTTCCTACAATAAATATATTCACCACTTACCATAAGCTAATGGATGAAAATATTTCAAGTAATGTGTGTACTGTATACATAGTTTTTAGACCTAGCTCTATTGCTCACTTAATACATGATAGTGCAAGTGTGTTATCAGGCTTTTACATGCATTTGAAAGTGAAAAAAAAGGCTATGTTTCATTTTACAGCAATTTTTGCCTTACAGTAGTAGCTTGGAACCTAACTTGCTGTATAAGTGGGGCTCTCCTGTACAGCAGTAGCCCAGAACTTAACCTGTTGTATAAGTTGGGCTCTCCTGTACAGCAGTAGCCCAGAACTTAACCTGTTGTATAAGTGGGGCTCTCCTGTACAGCAGTAGCCCAGAACTTAACCTGTTGTATAAGTGGGGCTCTCCTGTACAGCAGTAGCCCAGAACTTAACCTGTTGTATAAGTGGGGCTCTCCTGTACAGCAGTAGCCCAGAACTTAACCTGTTGTATAAGTGGGGCCCTCCTGTACAGCAGTAGCCCAGAACTTAACCTGTTGTATAAGTGGGGCCCTCCTGTACAGTAGTAGCCCAGAACTTAACCTGTTGTATAAGTGGGGCTCTCCTGTACAGTAGTAGCCCAGAACTTAACCTGTTGTATAAGTGGGGCTCTCCTGTACAACAGTAGCCCAGAACTTAACCTGTTGTATAAGTGGGGCCCTCCTGTACAGCAGTAGCCCAGAACTTAACCTGTTGTATAAGTGGGGCTCTCCTGTACAGCAGTAGCCCAGAACTTAACCTGTTGTATAAGTGGGGCTCTCCTGTACAGCAGTAGCCCAGAACTTAACCTGTTGTATAAGTGGGGCTCTCCTGTACAGCAGTAGCCCAGAACTTAACTTGTTGTATAAGTGGGGCTCTCCTGTACAGCAGTAGCCCAGAACTTAACTTGTTGTATAAGTGGGGCTCTCCTGTACAGCAGTAGCCAGAACTTAACCTGTTGTATAAGTGGGGCTCTCCTGTACAGCAGTAGCCCAGAACTTAAACCTGTTGTTATAAGTGGGGCTCTCCTGTACAGCAGTAGCCCAGAACTTAACCTGTTGTATAAGTGGGGCCCTCCTGTACAGCAGTAGCCCAGAAGTTAACCTGTTGTATAAGTGGGGCCCTCCTGTATAACAGTAGCCCAGAACTTAACCTGTTGTATAAGTGGGGCCCTCCTGTATAACAGTAGCCCAGAACTTAACCTGTTGTATAAGTGGGGCCCTCCTGTACAGCAGTAGCCTGGAACCTAATCTACTGTATAAGTGGAGCCCTCCTGTACATGGTTTTATAATTATTGTCACTTATGCTATTTTTTTTCTTTTGTATGAATATACTGATTCTGATAGCCTTGTTTTCAACAGTTGTTCAAGGATGCTATTGATGCTGCCTTCCAGTACAAGAAAAACCCAACTGACTTTACTGACCAGATCATGGAGGAGCTGGAGATGGACATGACTTTGTGAGCTGCACACGTAACCTGGTGGACTTCTTGGTCACTTCTTACACAGCGAGATGGACTTCCTGGTCACATCTTAGCACAGCAAGTGCACATAGGAAGTGTGTCTGTCTTGCACTCGGCAGACAGAGAATCAAGGCTCTGTCACGTCTCGAATGACCCACATGGGTTTAGTGATTCACCTGAATAATTTAATAGTCATAATTATAAATGAGTGTAAAACGAAAGCCTGTAATTGTTTTACATGGTGGTAGGATTACTGGTGTCTTTTGTCTGTCTCATAAACATGCAGGATTTCAGGTACGTCTTGCTACTTCTACTTACACTTAGGTCACACTACACATACATGTACAAGCATATATATACACACCCCTCTGGTTTTTCTTCTATTTTCTTTCTAGTTCTATTTCTTGTTCTTGTTTCTTTCCTCTTATCTCCATGGGGAAGTGGAACAGAATTTTTCCTCCGTATGCCATGCGTGTTGTAAGAGGCAACTAAAATGCCAGGAGCAAGGGGCTAGAAACCCCTTCTCCTGTATAAATTACTAAATTTAAAAAGAGAAACTTCTGTTTTTCTTTTTGGGCCACCCTGCCTCAGTGGGATACAGCCGATTTGTTGAAAGAAGAAGAATTATAAATTTGGTCATCAGTTCAATGGTATCAAATGTTACCAGATTTTATTAATAGCTAATACTATACTTATACTTATTATACTTATAAATGGCATCAGTTTATAAACATAATAGTGACATGGTACCGTATAGTTTTTAATATATAGATACAAAGTAAGTTTTACGAACTAAAACTTCACACGTTTTGAGAATGTAACTATATGAGGAGGAAGGAATTACATTGGCTGCAAACTTTTGGAAATGCAACACAGTTGCATGTGCAGAATGATCCTTTATTCACACGATGTTTTACATTTGAACTTTATTGAAAAATCACCTTCCAATAAAGTTTTGCTCTCCATATAGTGTTTTTTATGTATTTGTCAGCAAGTCTTGCCAGCCAACATGGCAAGAAGCATCTGTATATTGATGTGTTTGGCAGGACAGGAGAATGTTTGTGGTACCCTTGTGTCACTAGCAGTTCTATAAAGTGATATTGGTGTGTATGGTGTCGTATTAACTTCTTTCTGATGGTTCTTGATTTTTAAGTATGAGACCATAGTTAAAATGATCCCCCTGAACTGCAACATTTCCTGCCCCTCTTTTATACCTTTAATATACTCTTGATTGGTTTTGAGAGTTTTCCTACACCTTTAGTCCTCCTTCAGAGTGCAGGCACTGTACTTATGCACCATGCAATTTCTACTTTCTCATTAACCCTTAAACTGTCCAAACGTAGATCTACGTTTACATGCGTAGCGCTCTGAACGTAGATCTACAGTTTTTTATGTGCTTTCAAATGGAGAAAATAAAGGTCGGAGCGCTACGCACATAAACGTAGATCTACGTTTGTACGGGTGTCTCTCACTTTCTGCAGTTCATGTGTTGTACACCATGGCAGCTGTACTAAGCCAGACATCAACACTTAATTCCACATAATAAGACTTTACAGTACTCTTTGTGAACTGCACCAATCACATAGTGAATGTATATTGCAGATAGAGAATTGCTGAGAGAAATGGGGCAGTGCATAATAACGAATTTGCAAAAAAATGACGGAAACCTGCAGAACATACAAGATTTTCTTTGAACACACCGGCTTCCTCCCGCTGAGGCATCTCTTGTGACACTCGTCGATGGGATAATATATATATATGTGTTCAGTAAATCCTTGACTTACAAACACATTGAAGACCTCCTGAATTGTGTTATTATTATTTTTTATTAACACACTGGCCGATTCCCACCAAGGCAAGGTGGCCCAAAAAAGAAAAACTTTCACCATCATTCACTCATCACTGTCTTGCCAGAAGGGTGCTTTACACTACAGTTTTTAAACTGCAACATTAACACCCCTCCTTCAGAGTGCAGGCACTGTACTTCCCATCTCTAGGACTCAAGTCCGGCCTGCCGGTTTCCCTGAATCCCTTCATAAATGTTACTTTGCTCACACTCCAACAGCACATCAAGTATTAAAAACCACTTGTCTCCATTCACTCCTATCAAACACGCTCATGCATGCCCGCTGGAAGTCCAAGCCCCTTGCACACAAAACCTCCTTTACCCCCTCCCTCCAACCTTTCCTAGGCCGACCCCTACCCCGCCTTCCTTCCACTACAGACTGATACACTCTCGAGTCATTCTGTTTCGCTCCATTCTCTCTACATGTCCGAATCACCTCAACAACCCCTCTTCAGCCCTCTGGACAACAGTTTTGGCAATCCTGCACCTCCTCCTAACTTCCAAACTACGAATTTTCTGCATTATATTCACACCACACATTGCCCTCAGACATGACATCTCCACTGTCTCCAGCCTTCTCCTCGCTGCAACATTCATCACCCATGCTTCACACCCATACAAGAGCGTTGGTAAAACTATACTCTCATACATTCCCCTCTTTGCTTCCAAGGACAAAGTTCTTTGTCTCCACAGATTCCTAAGTGCACCGCTCACCCTTTTCCCCTCATCAATTCTATGATTCACCTCATCTTTCATAGACCCATCCGCTGACATGTCCACTCCCAAATATCTGAATACATTTACCTCCTCCATACTCTCTCCCTCCAATCTGATATCCAATCTTTCATCACCTAATCTTTTTGTTATCCTCATAACCTTACTCTTTCCTGTATTCACTTTCAATTTTCTTCTTTTACATACCCTACCAAATTCATCCACCAACCTCTGCAACTTCACTTCAGAATCACCCAAGAGCACAGTGTCATCAGCAAAGAGCAACTGTGACAACTCCCACTTTATGTGTGATTCTTTATCTTTTAACTCCACACCTCTTGCCAAGACCCTCGCATTTACTTCTCTTACAACCCCATCTATAAATATATTGAACAACCATGATGACATCCAGGGCCGGATTAAGAAGTCTCCGGGCCCTAGGATATTCAGATTGGCGGGGCCCCTTTGAGTTACGGGTAAGTGAAGCGACCCCTTCCAGCTTGGGGGGGGGGGTGGGGGGGGTCGGTGTGAGCCTGTTTAAGGTCTAATTAAATACATTCTGGCTATTTAGATTAAATTTAATAGGGAAAGTACATCAAGACAACCAAAACCATTTACCAACAGCCATTATAACTATCTTGTTAAATCATGCATTTTAAAGAGAATAAACTTAAGACAGCATAGTATTACTAGATTAGGCTATTAAAGTAGTGACATCATGTACCTATTATATTCAGCATAACCACTACAGCACTATTATTCCCTTTATAAATCACTGACCATTATTGTTATCATTGCATCATGCATAACACTATCAAATCATATAAACTCAAGAAAGTAAAGAATTGTTTATATTCACAGGCACTTCTTAAATAAACTTTTTTCTGGATTTCATATTGGCAAAATCATCAATTATATTCTGAAAATCAATATTTCTTGTTAGATCAGACTCAATGGTCAACAAGCTAGGTTACACAATTTGTCTTGGCTCATTGTTGAACGGAGCTGGTTTTTCACTCTTTTCAAAACAGAAAATGGACGTTCTCCTTCACAGTTAGTAGCTGGAAGTGTTAGGTAAAGGCGATACACTCTGTCAACATTAGGGAAGGTTTCTGAGATACCTGCATTTCTTAAATGTTTCAAAGCAGCTGAGGGCGCACATTTTTCAGGTGGAGCTTTAATCTGATTCATATACCCAGAAAAATAAACTATTTCTTCAACAAATGTGTCCTGAACATCTGCTGAAAGGTGTTGTTGCAACTTTAATACAGCTTCTCTCAATTCTGCATCTGGCATAGTAGTAATTTTGAACAGAAATCCAAACTTGTCATTGAGATTCTGGTAGATTTCTTTTCTTTTCACAAATTCTGTAATCAGTGAATCCAGAATGACGAAGTATGTAGCTGTCAGAAAATTGGAGAGGAATCTCCCATACTCGCCCATTAGCGGGAAAACACAGCTGTTCTGATGTAAACAAAGGCGTGTTGAGTGTTGCCATCTATGGTTAGGTTTATTTATTTTTATTTTATTTTATTTCATTATTTTTGTTTTGATTAATTTTTAAAAATCAATTTTATTCTCCAAACACTTGAACTTTTTAGGTAGGGACCCCTTTGCACTTGCACCATGTGCGCAGTCTTGGATGCGCGGGGCCCTAGGCAAATGCCTAGTTTGCCTATGTGGTAATCCGGCCCTGGTGACATCACACATCCTTGTCTAAGGCCTACTTTTACTGGGAAATAATCTCCCTCTTTCCTACCTACTCTAACTTGAGCCTCACTATCCTCGTAAAAACTCTTCACTGCTTTTAGTAACCTACCTCCTATACCATACATAATGTTCATAATGACTCGAGAAATCGTAATGACACGATTGCAAATAAACCATACCCCCGGCCGGGATTGAACCCGCGGTCATAGAGTCTCAAAACTCCAGCCCGTCGCGACGCGACGGGCTGGAGTTTTGAGACTCTATGAGTGGCTAACGCGACGGGCTGGAGTTTTGAGACTCTATGACCGCGGGTTCAATCCCGGCCGGGGGTATGGTTTATGTTCATAATACATGTACTGGAAATCTTCAACTTACGAACACGTTTGGGACCTTTCGTATTGTGTATAATAATAATATACCCAGTAATAACATAATAATAATCACAATACAGAGGATTCTCAATGTCTTTGTCCTCTTCAAGGGGGGCTCCTTGGTGTGGTGAAGAGGCTCTTGGTCTGAGGAATTAGACCTGCTGGACTCCTTCCTCAGACCAAACCTAATTACCCCCCAATCCCCCATTCCCTATCCCATCCTCCCCTTTTTCCTTTCCTCCTCCTCCTCCCCACCCCTCCCTTTTGCCCTTCCTTTTTGGCCTTTTTTTTTTTTTTTTTTTTTTCCACAGGCATGCTAGTTCCTAGGTAGGGGAAAGGGTACCGGGGTCCATCCCATTCCGTTGAGGTTCTTGGTGGTGGCGTAGTTTGCAGTGGAATCTGGATTGCCTGGGGATGTCCCGATCCCTCTCCGGTATCCCGGAGGGTGGCTTTGGGTGTCTCTCAGGCGACAGGTGTATCTCTGGAAGCCACCTTTCAGATTCCGGGGGTGGTGGCCGAAGGAGGTATGCTTTGTGGCGGATTTCCGGCCGCCCTCTCTCTTGTCCACCGAGGTAGCTCGGCAGATGTGAGGTTGCTATCCTGGATTGCCGGTTTACTGGCATAATGGGTAGGGTATGGCACGGGTTCCATGCTGCATCTGCGCTACTTGCGGTGCTGAGGTCCTGTTGGGCGCGGAGGGAGATTTCTGGCCCTTTCATTCCTCCTAGGAACTATCCCTCCCCGGTCCCCCCTTTTTTTATTCTTTTTTTTATTTTTATTTTCTTTTCTTCTTTCTTTTTTTTCTTAAAAACAAAAAGAAAGAAGTAACCTAACCATGGCAGCCCTAGTCCATGAACCTGCTACCTCCGGGCCCCTTCTTGATACCGCACCCCATTCTGACCCCGCCTCGTCTTTGGACCACTCTTCAGACACTCCTCATGCCTCTGTACCTCTTGCCGGTGCTGTTTCCTCACCCGCTTCAGGTACTGAGGCCTCGACTGACTCCTTCAATTTATCTGACCTTCGCTCTCCTCTGACTATGCTTCCGGCCTCTCCCTCTATGGTGCGGCAATTTTCAAATCGCCGACCCGTTCCACGTCGGACCAACTCTGGTCCCACGCCTAAACGCCAACGACAATTACCTGCTGATGATACTTCTCCACCTTCTCGTTCTTCTCAGAAAAGATCGACATGTCCTTTACTACCTTTCCACGCTCGGTTTCAGACTGCACAATGGACTAAATTCTTCACTTTACGACCGACTTCCTCTACTGCCTATCTTTCTGACTACAGTATTGGCAAGGCACTCCTACGCCATGTTGGTAAAGATATTTCTTTTCATGCTCTTAAGAGCGGTACGTGCATCATCACCATACAGAATGCTACCCAGGCTCATGAGCTTTCTCATCTTTCCCATATCGATACTGTTCCTGCCACTATTGAAAAACATCATTCCCTCAATTCTTGTAGTGGTACCGTCATTCTTCCCCATACCATAGTTCAACAAAGTTTCCAGACATGTGGCACTGACATTCTTGAACAGCTGGAACTCCAAGATCTCCCAATCCTCAAGGTAGACACTTACGTTCTTCCTGCCCTCGGGCGGAGACGATACCCTAGCAATGTGGCTCGTTTAACTTTTGACAGCCGTGAACTCCCATCCTCAGTTTATGTAGCAGGACATCGGTTACAAGTTCGAAAGGTGATCCCTACACCGCAACAGTGTAGAAATTGCTGGCGATTTGGCCATCCAGCGAAATATTGCAGATCTATCGCCGAATGCCCAGTCTGTGGTGCCGATGACCATTCTAATACGTCTTGCAATCAACCTCCCTCTTGCCTTAATTGTCATGAGGCTCACCCTTCGTACTCTCGCCGTTGTTAAGTCTACTTAAACGAGCGGGAAATCCGTTACCTCAAAGAGGCAGAAGGTCTCCCTTATGCCATGGCAGTTTCTCATCTCCGCCTCCAAGGGAGACTACCTTGTGTTTCTTATTCCCGTGTTTCAAAACGTCCCCCCATTTCTGGTATCCCATCTTCTGCACCCACCTCTGTGGTTACCTTTCCCATAGTCACTCCTGTATCTAATTCTTTTGCTGTCCTCGGCTCAGACGTCCCTACTTCAACGCCTCAGTCTGATCTCGCTTCTTCGTGTTCTCTCTCACAAGCCTCAGTAGCGACGAGATCTCGTGTGACACCTCCTCCCAATCGTCCCTCTACTTCTCAAAAGTCAAAAAAAGGTCCGTTAACACCTCCTACCCATCTTCCACCTCCTCATTTTACCTTCCCTGTCTCTGTACCTGGTTCTTCCCCTCTCACTGGCTCTGTTACAAGTGTAGAGGTTCACCCTCCTCCTCGTACTGTACCTCCCTCCCCTGTTCCCTCCCAAGTTTCTTCCTCTTCTGCCACCTCCCAGGTTTCTACCTCTTCTGTCCCCTTCCATGCTTCTCCAGTTCCCTCCACCCTTTCGCCCCCCCCCCCCTACCTTGGTAGAATCCAATACAGTTCCAATCTTTACTCATCCTCCCCCTACCATTTCCAATATTGTCTCCCATACGACGTCTCTGAATTCCAAAACACTTGAAGCAATCTCTGAATATATTGCAGAGACCAAACCATCAATGGACACTGATCCATCCTCCGTTCCTTCTCTCTCCTCTGCTCCATCTGCGCAACTCCTTTCTTCACAGCGCACCGTTCCTTCACTGCTTGAACGTTTTCCACTGCCTCCGCATGTGGACTTTTCCAACCCCTCTAGTCCGTAGGAACCCTTACCTGCGGATTTCAGGTATCTTTATCATTACCAATCATGGCCTATTTACAGTGGAATATACGCGGCCTCAGGGGTAATCGGGGTGAGCTTCAAATGTTACTCTCCCAGTTTTCCCCTGTTGGTGTTTGCTTACAGGAACCAAAATACACTCTGCTGTTATCTCTCCCATCTCAGGCTATAATTTATTGTATTCTTCAGATCCTTTTCCTGATGGGACCTTTAATGAAAGTGCCCTTCTTCTACGCACTGATATTCCGTACCATCAGCTATTTGTTCATACTTTGCTGCATTACACAGCAGCCCGTATCCACTTGCATAGGTGGTATACGCTCTGTTCTTTATCTTTCTCTCCTTCTCGGGCATTATCTATTCCGGATATTGCCTTTCTTGTTTCATCATTACTGCCACCGATTCTGTTACTTGGTGATTTTAATGCCCACCATTTCCTCTGGGGGGGGGTCACACTGTGATTCCCGTGGCATTCAGTTAGAGGCTTTTCTTGCCACCCACCCCCTCCATGTTTTAAATACAGGTACTCACACCCATTTTGATCCTCGGACTCACACTCTCTCTTGCATCGATCTCTCAGTCTGCTCTTCCTCCGCCGCATTAGACTTCACTTGGTCTGTTCTCCCGGACTTACATGACAGCGATCATTTCCCAATCATTCTTACTTCCCCTTCATATTCACCACCTCTTCGCATCCCACGCTGGCAGTTTGATCAGGCAAATTGGAACCTTTACTCACACCTAACTGTTTTTAGAGAGGTTCCTTCTTCGTCCTCCATCGATGAGCTTTTACACCTCTTCTCGTCCTCCGTTTTAACCGCAGCTTCTCATTCTATACCCCAAACTTCGGGCAGGCATTCTCAGAAATGCGTGCCTTGGTGGTCTCCTGCTTGTGCTCGTGCAGTACGTTTGAAACGCGCTGCATGGGGCAGGTACCGGTACAATAGAACCACAGAGAGACTTCTTGATTTTAAGCAGAAGCGTGCGATCGCTCGCCGTGTCATCCGTGACGCTAAACGCACTTGCTGGCGAGATTATGTCTCCACCATCACCTCTGCTTCCTCTATGAGTGCAGTCTGGAAAAAAGTACGAAAACTGAGTGGTAAATATTCTCCTGACCCGGCTCCTGTTCTGCAGGTTGCCGGTGTTGATATAGCAAACCCACTAGATGTTGCCAATGATATTGGCAATCATCTGGTCCGTATTTCTCAGGGACTCCATCTATGCCCCTCATTTCTTTCCTCAAAGTCTGCCAGAGAGTTAGCACCCTTGGACTTTTCTTCTCTCAGAGAAGAACAGTATAATGTGCCTTTTACACTTCAAGAGCTGGAGGCAACACTCAGCTTGCCGATCATCGGCAGCTGGGCCCGACGACATTCATATTCGTATGCTACAACATTTACATCAGTCAGCCCTTGCAGTCCTATTACGCCTTTACAATCTTATTTGGTCACAAGGAGTTCTTCCACAGCTGTGGAAATCCGCCATTGTTCTCCCTTTCCGCAAACCAGGCACTACGGGACATGAAACCTCCCACTATCGTCCCATTGCTCTTACCAGTGCAGTTTGCAAAGTGATGGAACGCCTAGTACAGTGGACCCCC